TTCATTTTACCTTACTTACAATAGTACATTTATTTGAAGTTCATGCTTTGATAAAACAACAACCTTTTTTGCAAGCTCATTTCTTTTCATCAATGAATTGTTGATGCATTGATGAAAAATGACGTTTTAATATTCCAGATGATTGCTTTATTACTGTCATTCATCTCCCATAGAAGAATCTACTTGTTTATTTATAAGTAGATTCATGTACATCAAGAATCATCATTAAATAATTTGTTGCACGACATAGATGTGCTTTTGAGTAAGCTTGAAGGAAACTGTTCATGTAGAGATAAATGTTATTTCTCAATACATTTTCTATTCTTCAATTCATTTCGAAACAGTTGAGTGTAGTTTTTATTAAAATAAATATTTATCTATAAGATTTACTTTCCTATCCTGAATCAGAAAGAGTTTATCATAATATTTTTATCATTCAATGTAAACCTGATATTCATCATTTTGAAGTCACAAAATGACTTCTACTCAACTTTTATTGTATTTTTCTTATATTATACCTTTCTATATTAAGTATGTCCTGTTTGTAAAATGTCCCGACTAATATTAGCTAAGACAGTTTTCTTTTTCTAATATTTTTCTATTTTAAATTCACTTCTAATAATTAAACTGATTTGAAGAATATTGTCATGTTGACATTTATTATCATGTTCTAAAGAAAAAATTTTCTGAAATATTTTGTTTTTCTTTCTAGTTTATTCTTATTCACATTTTATAATATATTTCATTCGGTATGTATTCATTTGTATCAAATAATCATTTTCTTGTATGGCAGATAGTTTGACTCGACATTCTATCGGTATAATCATGTAACACAAAATCACTTGTTGTAATTGTTTATTGGCTTTCTTTGAGCTTTTTTTTTGATTTTGCGCTTTGTTTCATAATATATATGATTGCTATATGAAAACAAAAAAAAATTAAATGTTTATAATTTGTTGTTTTTAGTTGATGTATTTTTCTATACGTTTACAAACGATTTATTGAGAGTAACTATAAAGACTTATCATATTGTTAGAGTAGTCTACTTCTTAGATCATAAGTAAGATCAGAAATATTGACAATGAAGAATAAATAAGCAAGTATAGATGTAGGAGTTAATTGAATGAAAATTTATTACGATTTTTTTTCTAGACAATTAAAACGTTTTTAATCTTTGACTTTAGCTAGTTACGTTGGATGAAATTTTAAATAAACCAAACATACAAGAAAACACTCGACATTTTTAATGATTAACCAATCATGAAATCACACATCTTCATATTATATAGTGCTAAAAAAGAATAGTAGTAGTTCACTTTCTTTGAAAAATATCGTCATTATTAGAACTCTCTCTTAAAGAAAATAATTAAACATTTAGAAAGCGCTTGAACTTCCCTATTAATTCGTATATTTATGTTTTATCGTGCATGTATTTGCTGAATAATAGCGAAATGTCCAAAAAACTCTGCATTAACTTTGTTTTCAGTATATCGTAACTACAACTCATTGTGAAAATTTGACAGTGTTCTTGTTTGAAAGAATACAATTTCAACTACAAAGCTTCATTCAAAATACTCATCGACGACTTAAAATTTGTTTACACGCTTCTGACCTAACGAACAAAACCTCCGTCCACTAAGAAAGTTAGTTTAATTTTCTTCTCTCATCAAGTTTTCTAGTGCTACCATAGTGTATTAGCAATAAATAAAAATCAAGTTTTCAAGGTATTGGTTGAATTTGAAATTGACATTTTTCTAACATTGTTTGCTGGTAAAAAATGTTTACTACTAATAAGTAATTTCGAAAAATAAGATTTTTTCCGGTGATCAAAATTAGTAAAATTCAATATTATATGTTCAATTAGAGTTTAGTAAATTCACTACAAAAGCATATAAACTGAAATAGAATAGTTGTTCTATTAGACATTACGAGAAAAAAATCAAGAAGGAAAAAGCAACAACTCCGTACTGCAACACATGTGAAAAAAAGTTTCTTCAATAATCACTGAATAATTGATTAAAAATCAATTATTATCATACGATTAAAATCAATAATTCAATCAGAAACAATCATAAGGAAAATCATGACGAAGTCGATTATTTTAATTGATTTGATTATAATCGATCTTTTACTCAATTTTAAAATTGATTATAACCAAATTAATCCAAATAATTGACTTCGTAGTGATTTTCTTTATGATTCTTGAAAAAATTTTTTTTTACATGGGAAGAGTATGTCAACATTATCCTCTAGAATTATTTAGCTATTTCAAAACTACTATCAACAAGTGTCATGAGAACATTACTTCGACTTCATTTTTATGAGTGTATCTGGCAATAAAGTCCAAATACATCATTGTATTTCATTGATAATAAAATTTTTCAGTAAAATGAAATATTAGAACTTTATTGCCAGGCAGACTTACAAAATGAACTCAAACTAATAGATTTGTGACACATGTTGATATTAAATTTGAAATAATTAACAAGTTCTAGAGAGTAATTTCAGCATACTTTTTGACAACGAAATTGACGCTTCTGTTCTCTTGAACAAATATCGTTATGGGTAGTAATGGGAAAAGGAAATTTTTAGTAAAAATTGTTCGATATGAAAATTTTAGTTATGTGATTCGAATATTTTAATACCACTAGAAAGCCCGTGTCTCGTTAATTATATTCGCACATAATATAGCTATAAATTTCGAAAGTCAAATGCAAGACAAACTAATCAAATGTATTGCTAATCACTGATTTTTATATTAAGTTTTAGTACATTTTCCCAGTCAAACATATTTTTAGGATTTCTCGACCTTGAGTAAATATTCTGAATGAAATATTTCTACATTGTAATAGAGACTTTGCTCTTTCAAATAAGAAAACTGAAAAGTGTCCTCGACAAGCTGTAGTCACGATATAGTAAAAATAAAATTAATAAAGAATTTTTGCATCAAGTATAATGCTGACATATTCTTGACTAGATTTCTACGGGCTGTATTTTCTTACTAGTTGTTTAATTAGATGTTTAAATTTATCATGTTTATCTAAATAGAGTTTCAAAAAAAGTAAATATATATGTTGAGAAGATCTAAAAGTTTTCTATTAGAATATGTATATATATTTCAGATGTTGAGGACATAACCAATGATATATTTTTACTTAAACTCATCTATGATAAACAGTCGTCAGAAAGTCGGTTTAATGAAAAACACAGACAAGAAAAATATTGAAAATAGAACAAGATAAAAATCGAGAGAGAAAATAGAAAAACTGAAGACATTGAATGGAAAAAACAGAAAAAAGAAAAACGTCGAAAATGAAATTTTTAAAATTACATTAACAACGAGAAAAATTTGATTTCGATCATATGAAAAGAGAAACTAAGTGTATAAATTCTGATTCCATTTATTATCGCATGCCAGTGTCGGTATAGATCTATTCTTTACTTATACATGTTCACTTATTCGTACATCCACATCTCACATCTACCTCCGATCTTTAGTTTCAATCTAATGTTTCCTTATCGCTATTGTTGTCTTTTACATTGTTCTCTTCGACATTTTCCTGTTGTGTTTCGATATTTTTCTTTTCTACCTTTTACATCAATTTGGTAATAACTATTGTCCTATCACGGAACGTAGAACATGCATAAAATTTTATAGAAAAAAAAAAATGATATTTCATAGGAATGTTAGATTTAAAGTAGATAAACTATATGCGACATATTTATCAACAAACGATTCAAATTTAAAGATTTTCAAAATACAAAATGATAGGCAAATCTATATTTCATATGAATAGGAAATGAATTTTGTTTAAAACAAAATCATGACAATATTAATGTCGACTCTGAAACGGAAATAAAAAAACGTATAGCAAAAAAATATAGATTTTTAATGCTTGCTGATTCCAAATGTATACAAATTGTTTTATGACAAATCTATACGATACAATAGATTAATATAATATATATGAATAGAAAATTTCATACTCTTTCGGAATATAGAATTACTTGTTTGAAAAAGCTTTTTCTACAATGATGATAAGTTTAAAAGAATTAATTGAACAGTTAGTAATATAATTTAGTAAGTATAAATCTAATTATGAATGTGTCATCAATATAATTGATATATTTTCTGAAAATAATTGCATGATAAAATATAAATATAGAATATAATAGAAAAAAATCAGGCGCTTTCAGAATTATTAATAATTTTCTTTAAAGAAAAAACCTGGCTAAGAATAATATAGTGTAAAAATGGATTGTAACTATTTGTTGACAAGTACTTATTCGCATTGGCAATTTTAATTTATTAGAGAGTATATATTCATAATAAATTATGCAATTTATTAAACACTTCATAGCATGCAAACATGCCGACACATAGTGCATGTTTTCTTCATCTTCTCATCTCTTGGGAGTTTTCAGTTAAAACTTGAAATGATAGAAAATCTGATCGTCATGAATATATTCTACCAAATCAATTTGTCAATTTAACTTGTAGTATAAGATTTGGGAAATATTTTTTAAGTCAGACGTACGTGTACGGAATATACAATCGATATGATTTGAGATTTACGTTGATAATAAATATGATTAATTTTTTTATATAATGTATTTCGATTTCCTTTTCCTATCTCAAGAGAAACAATATCTCCCATAGTAATCTGTATATGTCAGTGCTGTTCTTTTATTTTTTTTAACGATTATTTTTCTCTTTTGAAAATCAACACTAGAATAGTTTTTTTGTATGAATAGTATCTAATCAGAAAAAAAAACATGAAAAAATCTTTCTCTATGCGTTATTATCAATAATGGTGCAGTTTTTTTTTCTCCAGAACACTCTATGATTTAATACAGATAGAATATTTCTCTTCTCCATTATTTTATTATATGCAGATCTCGTCATATATATAAACTAAAGCAACAAAAGAAAAAAACAATTACGAATTTATCTTTGATCATTAATATTTATCTAGATATTTTCAAATACAAGGATTAACATGTCACGACGTGAATTTTTCATGTTGGCTTTTATCTTGTACGTTTCGGTTGTTCAGTTGACTGCTACTCAAATTCATTGTGAGTATACAATCAAAAATCTTTAAAATTGTAATTCTATATGATTTTATATTTAGTCGACGAAGATAATGACAGTGATGATGATGATGATGATAATAAATATCGTCTAGTAAAACGTGTTTTTTTTCATAAACATGCAACGGCTTCAACTGACCGAACACCAAGTGTTCTTGATAATCTTATTCGTCCTTCATCAACTTTCTCACCAACTGGGAGTAAGAAAAAATATTTCAAATCATTATCTTTTATTTAATATTTGTTTTAATCTTCATATAGAACCAATAAGTGGAACTCAAAGAAGTACATCGTTACCTTCATTTTTATCATCAAATCCATGTGAATTAAATCCTTGTGAAAATGGAGGCATCTGTATTCCGAAAGGACAAATGACTTATGAATGTAAATGTATAGGTTCATGGCGAGGAATGCATTGTGGTATTGGTATGTTATAAAAACATTGTCAAACATGTGTAACTGTTTTATTTGTTTTTTAAGCTGACGCATGTTACAGATCGCCATGTAAAAATGGCGGTACATGTCTTAATGTACAGGATGATTATTGGTGCAAATGTACGAGTGGTTACTACGGTAAGATCGAGTTTCTATATGTATGTTTATTTTTTTTAATATCTCATTATTATGTAACATATTATAGGAACTAATTGTCAAAAAAGTAAATATATAATATGTCTTATTTAGTAGAATTTATTTGTTATTTTATTTAGAATTTACTAGTTCAAGTTATTCGGAAAATTATTGCCGACCAAATATCTGTCATACAGGTCAATGTATTTCTCTTCAAACAACTTATTATTGTGAATGTCCTCATGACCGCTACGGTGAACATTGTGAAAAACGTATGAATTTTTCAAAGATTGCCTAGTGTCAAAAATGAGATAATGTGTTTTTTTTTTAATAGGATTGTTCAAACGAGAACTTTTTGATATGCAATTATATCAAAATTTAATACAACAACTTAAACGAAGCATGCTCAAACATGAAACGAGAAAAACACAACATGGTAACGGTGATGAGGTGGCATATTATGACGCCAAGAATGGAATTTATTTCTAAAAGAAAACTCATTCTTCTTTGAGAATAAAATTTTCTTTTAAAGTATAAATATATAATTTAATTAACAATTTACTCTAGTATTATGAACAAATTTTAAAAGAAAGTAATAACAAAAGAAGCGAAAAGCTGTAAAAAAAAATAATTCTTAATTTTTTTTAATGTTAATGTAAAACTGCTTGAAAACAAATAATATCAATCAAGTTTCATTGAATTTGTTTTGCTTAATTTTCAAATATCGGATGTTTAATCGATGAATTAAACTTGTTGACTATGATGCAATAAGACAGTTATCAGAATATGAAACTTACAACTGACGAAAAAACATCTACAACGATTAATCGAAGTCATATTTTCATCATCAGTAGGATTCAATGAAACTAGAAAAAGCCTGCAAGGTTTTGTCTTCGTAGGTGTTTCTTATGAAGCTATAACTGTTTAATCGGATTTTTAGATTATTCTACGGTCAAGGGTGCAAAATCTGCCTGCATGCATGAACATCATTTCGAGAAACATTTTCTACAAATATAGTACTTTCAGAGAAACTTTTTTTTAAAGAATTCTTATCTAGAAATGTTTGTTCGGAACTCATTACTCTCTGAAAATTCTTCCAATTATTTTTCTCATTCGGGGAAAATTTCTCTTTGTAAGGCAGATTCTATACCTCTGGGTAAGATATTAATAGAAAAATCAAAAAGAAAATATTTCATCTGAGCTTATTATTATAAATAGATCGTTTGATCCTAAGCATGCTCTGAAACTTTTAGCCAAATTTGACAGTTCCTTCTGAACATATTGAATACTGAAGAAAAACTGGCTTTGTGGCTTTTTGTTGCAAATGATTATTTTTTTTGAATACTTAATATTTCAAGTAGGAAGTATATGACTCAGCCGTAACTTTCAAGATATACTTAGGATTAAGAGATCTATTCATTAAGAAAAATTCAGCTAAAAAAATCCTTCTTTTCCATTTTTCTATGAATACTTTTTCATAAGCCGAAAATTCGATAAAACGTTTATAACTCCATAGAAACATCTATGATGAGAAATCCTTGTGAGTTTTTCAATTCTCACTGAATCCTACTTATCACCAAACCGTCATTTGACTTGGCAATAAACATTTAAATATGTTTTCTCATGAGATAAAACCCGTTTTTTTTGTATATCACTTACATCTGGTCTCCTTATCAATAGAATATCTTTAATTTTTAAATATTAGCTGATTTCATTTTTCAACTAAGAAGAGACTTTTACTACACTCAAGAAATTCTTAAATTCATTATCTCATAATCATTTGACAGAAAAAGATTCAAGTGCTCTCTATATCAAATGATAATAGTTTTTTTTTTGTAACTTATTTCTTAACATTTTTCCTGCTTTCTTAAGACTAAAACATCAAAATCTCTCTAATAAATTTTTCATTTTACTTTCTCAAAATTGATTTCAGTACTTAGGTATAAAATCTCTAGACATGGATTAAAAAAAAACTATCTGACGTTGAGGTTGTTACAACTAAGTATGAAATTACATATTGCATTAAAATATTAAATTTCACCTTGCAGACAAATTTGTTCTTCGTATTACTAACAATTTGAAATATTATTCTCAGTAGATCATCAAATGTTTGAAAGAAATCAAATTCATTGAATATCTTTACACATTTATTGAAAATGTTCTTTTTATATGCTGTTCAAAATATTCATATAAAGAAAATTATCTAAAATTTGATAATGAAAATATCTTTGTCTCACTTTTTTAGAGAAATTCAAATGTTGTGTAATCAATATTTTATTTAATGCTGTTAATATTGCTACATTGATTATTTCGTTCATAGCAATATATTTAGTTGCTACTATCGTCAAAATTAACACATGAAAATGCTATAAGATCTATAGATAAGCATGAACTTATGTTGTACTTCACAGAACATATTGATTTTAAACTCTAAATTTCTTAGCAATAAAATGAAAAATCTAACGCCTTATTTTCTAATCTATATTCCTAGATATAAACGAAACGATATTTTTCAGTCAGATCAAGGCATGAAACAACGACATAATTTGAATATAAACTTATCATACAACCAAGGAAACTAATATAGAAAACAATATGACTCCACATAAATAAGAAAATTGTTTGATCTTGCTCACATGAACTATTCAGAGATATTAGGGCATAGTCTAGAAAAAATGACTTTGATGAAACTTTTCTGAACTGTTTTTAAATTTCATAGAACCTAATCATTAATCAAAATATGAAATTGAACGACATGTTTAATTAAAAATATTTTCTCATAAGAGCAAAATTTTCATTTTTAATCTATTAAGTGTATTATTTTTCATATACGAAATTCTTCTTATCTCTTAATTTAACTTTTCAACGCATGGCTACATATATCTCGTTAGTTAAGTATTTCTTTTTTTTCTTATCTTTTAGTTAGTTTTTGATATCAATGTTTTTTATGTTCTTGAAGAATGGATATAATCCGTGTAGTTTGGTTTTAAAACGTCTAATCACTCATCAAATTGATCAGTACATACTTTTAATTTTTCTATCCTTCGGATAACATATTAACGAATACTTTTTTTCTCTCTGATAAATAAGCGAGCGTAATTAATATATGATAATCTTATATCACCGATCATATTTGATGTTAAATGTATGACTCTTGAAAAGCAAGAAGTTTCATTAATTCTAACTGTTTTTACATGTCCTGTAACACTTAAATTATGTGTTGAGTTAGTCTTAGCACAGTCAGCTATTGTTGAATGAATACAACATTACAATGAAACGAATCTAATGACTCAAAAAAAAATTAATACAAAACAATTAAAAACTAATTGAATTTGTTAAACAATTAGTTGATCAATATTAGGCCTTTTATAATGTTAAATATAAAAAGGAAATAATCATATTTCGAGACAATAAAATATTAATGAAGCAAGAACTAAAACTAAATATCAATAAATGATTTTTAAAAGATAAGCAATAGTGAATAATAAATAAACTACAAAAGATAGTTTTAGAACAAATCATTTTGTGAAATACAATCTAAAACGAGTGTTAAAGTATATAAGATAATGATTTGCATCCAACCTAGTGCTTCTCATAGACTGTGGCAGATACTAGTCACAGACCATTGAAGACTATGACAAATGCCTAAGAAAAGTTTCTTTCTCCGTCAAAGAGGCTATTGATACACGATTCAAGACCGCGTATGTCAATAACATCTCGTTATACTATATAAACTACTTTCTTATTGTAGTTCTGGATTGCTAAGTAAAAGGATGACCAAGAAATCCGTCTTAAAATAGATATAATAAAGCAGTCTTCGTATAATTATCAAAAAGAGTTACATCGTATTTAACATTTCAATCCCGTAGGGATTTTGATGACAACTTTTCAAAGTCATCGTAAAAATCATGATGTTACTCTTGTCCTTATTAAAGTCGTCATTTTTCATATGAAAAATGACAGTTTAATCTTTGATGACGATAATACACCTCTTCTTTGATCTTCTAAACATATTTCTTATTAAAATTCAGAATCTTGTTTTTCTTTTTGAAAATAAAGTGATTTGTTTTAATTTAAAATCATTCAAAAAACATATTTAATTTACATAAACCTACTTGTACGACCAAATTTTTTGTATATATAATATCATTATATATTATCGAGCATGTGGAGATCATTATTATTTTTCCAGATTTTTTTTTCAAATCTTCATATAAATGTAGAAATGAAAAAGGGCAAAAGTCATTTACCAAATGTAAACATTTTCTAATCAACGAGGTAGAAGTACATTTGGAGATAATGTCAAATATATATGGTTTGGCAAATGGAACGATATAGACACCTGACGCATACTTATTCATAGTATGGTTATCGAATATTGATTTTTAATAAGAAAAGAAAAACAATCTTCGTAAGAATTTATGCTTGAGTTTCAAAGACAACTCTATGATATAAAAATGTCAATATGTTATTACGTTATCAAATTGTCATGACTCATACTTGATTTAATAGGTGCTGATTTTTTCAGAAATAATTTTAACCCTTATCGAATTGATTACAAAAAAGAATAAAATGTAAATCCAGAATCACACAAAACATTATTATGTTAATACTATGTTTTCGTATCAAGGTGAATGATGATTCATTGAGTTACATTTACAAATGTATTTCAATGAGAATCTGAACAAAAACCACATACATTTTGAAGTACAAAATTTTCTTTCTGAATAAATATTTTTTTAATGTTATGTAACGGTAAAGTGTTCGAGTAAATCGTACCATTATCAATCAGCAAATAATCTTATTGGGCATATGAATTAAACATATTTTTATGTGTACTTTTTCTTTTTCTCATGTATAACTCAAGGTGACCGTCATTTAGATTTATGATGACGGATGTCACTAGATGAAATGGTTTAACTATATATATCATTGGATATTACCTTGCCAATGATCAAGCAAGGCTTTTTGTTCTCCGTCTTCACTCTTCGCTTGTGTTCGTAACTTTGGTCACTATTTGAATTTGTCGTTACATTACCTCGTACAGAGTATTTTTTTTCTTATTAAATGAAGCTTGTAACAAGTATGCGGTAGAGGTTCATAAATGACAACGGTCGTTATTTTATTTGTCGCTTCATAGAAGGCCTTGCGTAACTTTTCTTTTTCGTTTTTTTTCTCCTATATGATTGATAACCGAATATTGTTTCATATGTGAATTACACTATAGATTGTCACGATTGTTTATAAATAACCTTATTTGTGAATAAAAAAAAAAAAAAATGGGTCGCAATACTACCGATGTTGACGACGATAAAAATGACAAATCATCAGAAAAACAAGCAGCAAATGAATCCGAATCAGATTCCGATTCAGATCTTGATGAAGAAGAATATATTGTTGAAAGAATTGTTAAAATGCGTACAACAAAAAAAGGCAAAGTTCAATGTAAGAAATATATATATTTAGTTTTTTTCTTTATTCAAAATGATTATTATTCAATATTTCTTATTTCATTGAAAACAAAAAAGATTTTCTAAAATGGAAAGGTTTTCCTGAAAATGAAAATACATGGGTAAAGAATACTTTATTTTTTTTTATTACTTGTTTTTTCTGACAATTTTCATTTTTTTTTCAGGAACCTGCAGAAAACCTTGAATGTCCTGAATTAATAGCAGCCTTCATGGCTGAACAAAAAGAAAAACAACAAGCATCAGCATCAAAAAGTGATGATACTTCATGTCCCAAACGATCTCGTAGTACTAGTAGTAACAATAATAATAATCATAATCACAATAATTCCGATGGTGATAAGACTCATAATAATAATAATAATAACAATACTTCTCAAACTAAACGACCTCGTATTGAATTTGATCAAACTGGTTATGGTCGTGGTCTTGTGCCAGATATGTTATTAGGTGCAACAGATATATACGATGGAGAATTAATGTTCTTGTAAAGAAAAAATTTCATTTTCAAATAATTTTAAATTGATTCTTTCTTTTTTTTTTTTTTTCTTCAATTTAAGAGTAAAATGGCAAGGAGTAAATAAAGCCGAGCTTGTTCCATCACGTATTGTGAATAAACAATCTCCACAACTTGTGATAAAATTTTATGAAGAACGATTAACATGGAATTCAACAAATACTAGTAATAATAATTCAAATAATAATAAAAAAGCTTAAGTTATAAAATATTAATATTCCAATTCTTTGTGATTGTTTTTTTGGACAATGTGTATATTTTAATTCTTTTTCTCTTTTTAAAGCGTGCTTATTCTGACATGATCACAAAAATTTTCCTTTCATTTTCTTCTTACTTTTGATCATCTGTGTATTATGATCGGATTTTTTTGTATATCTTTCAAAAGATAGAGTTACATTTGTAGTAATATGACAAAGAAGAAGAATTAGTTTTAACATTTTTTTTCTTCTAATTTCACGTTTTATATGAACTTAGATTTACTATGAAATAAAAAAAAAAAACACTCTTAAACAAAACAATAAAAGAATTATTAATTGTCATTTTAAATGAAACTAGATAAAAGCAAATTATATGATTTAATATATATAAAATATGAATAGTGTATTTAAAACATGAAATCTATATTTATCGATTTGAACGCAAAAGAGAACGTCACTCCACTATATTTATTTATAGAACACATTTGTTCAGTACAAAACAAAGTTCATCAAGTATGTTTACAAATTTCTATACAAATAAATCAACTATTCACATCGATGTTCAAGAGAAATAATAATAATAATAATAATATGAGTTCAAAGTAGATTTTATTTCCGTTTGCAAGTTTTTCTTTTATACATTTTTCTAATAATTGTTGACAGACTGAGACTATTTTTAGTTAATGAAGGCTCCTTGTTAAAAAATAAAAAGAAGCAATTGATTGCTATAATTGTAAAAGTTTTGTTTTGTTTCATGTTCTTGTTTTATGCTCAGATGATCTTATTATTGCTGAAGGCTTTTTCGACATTTCGATAGATGATGATCTTGTTCTTTACAATAAAAAATATAATACAAATATTTCAGGTCAAACCAACACAGTCATAAATGACCGGACACAGCGAACTATGGTGATTTGCATGATCCAATATGACGATTGTATATCTTCATGTTGTATACGAAGAAAAGAACTGTCGTTTACGATCCTCGCAAACGGTCACGATTATATACAATCGTTATATTCAACCATTTAAACCGTCAAAATATGGTCGTATACGAACGCCGTATTTGTTGACCTGTGCTAAATCAATTATCTTTCGTTATTGATGTATTAAAATGTATTGTCGTATATTGATAACATTTAATTCAACATTGGCTAATGTTTCAAGAAATGGATTATAGTTAATAGTATTGTTTTTATTCATTGTTTCAATATGCAATATTCCAGACTGACTGGGTTAGTTCATACAAAATTAGAAAAACTCTCCATTACGGATACATCAGCTAGATGATACCAAACGAAGAAGTGAAATTAAATTTGATACCTCATATGTTAATTCTATACCAACACAACAATAATATTTGAAAAAAATGTAAAGAGTGGTTGCTATGATTGTGATAGTTTAGTTTTCTTTCGTGCCGTATTTCAAAATTAAACAGAGTATTAATCAAAGCTAATATTAATTACAAAGAATAACATTCTATTCAATAAGAAACGTGCTAATTACATATTCGAGATGAATTTCATATGATTTCAACGTCTAATTTAATAAACTGACTCATTTAAATATTTTCGGTGAAGTCAAAATTAATTAGAATTTTTATTTATTTCAAAAATATATTTTCAATCTAAAACAAGTGTTTAAGTATATAAATTGTTGATTTTAATTGAATTCAGATGATTGCATTGATTTGATTTTAATAAATATAATTTTCTTGAAATTTACTGTTTTTTTTTTTTTGTTTTACATAAATCTATTACACATGATAATTAAATCATCTATTCCAATGTGATATACTCATTCGAAATAAAAACTTTTATTTAATCTTGACTTTACTATCTCTTGTTAATTTTTTTTGAAACACACTACAAATAGAGTTCAAGTTTATACAACGAGACAAGTCATATCAGACAAAAAAAGACACACCAATACCACATGATAAACGTACATTAAAAAAAAAGAAAAAACAACATCAACCAAAGAAAAAAAATAGCGAATTTTGTTCAGACACTTTTCTACGAGTAGTTCTGACGAATATGGTTAGAAACAAGAAGAAGAAGAAACAAAAATAACGACATAATAAATATTGATAGAGCTCATGCAGTTCTCTGTTTTTTTCTAGGTGGACAAATGATATTATTTTGTAATGATGCCATAGCTCGATAAGCATCTGCTAATAAATGTGGATGTGTACGAATCATTGTTTGAAAACCTATTGTTTCTATTACATCTATATAAACAAAAGGCAAAAAAAAAAGAGCACATGAATAATATTATTATACAATTGTGTTTTTTCATGTAAAATACCTTGTGGATGTGCATTTATAAAGTCAATAGCTTGTTGTCGTAATTGTGTTGCTGAATGAAGATCAGCAAGTATTAGGGTGTCAGCAACATTATCACGATCAATTGTTGTACATAATGCGTCTTCACATTGTACTTTAAGTCTTTCCAAACAATATTTATCCGCAGCTGGTAAAAGTGCATCGGCTAATGTATCAAGATTTTGTGCTTTACCTGTATATATAAAACGAAGAATTTCAAACATAATATCACCATCAATATCTTCAATTTCAACACGTGAACGTTCATTTTCTAACATTTTATGTTCAAACATTGCTTGAAAAACTTTTGATCGTGCACTTAATATTGCTTTATGAACAGGAAATTCTTTTTGTCCACAAACAAGTGTTACATCGGAATAAGTTGGATTGTCAAGTAATGATTGAAAATCATCACTTATATGACATTCAGGAATTTTAAGCTAAAAACAAAGAAATATATAGAAAATTAAAAATGAATTTTCTTTAGTGGAAAATAAAAATTTTACTGCATTAATTTGTGTTTGTCCACTAATATTAACACTATCAGCAACGACACTAACTTCACAAAACAATGTTAATTTGTCATCTGGTAGAAGACCATTAGTTTCATCGATTAAAAAGTCACGGCGAATAAATTTTTTAAAACCCCAATCTTTGCCTAAAATTTTAAAAAACTTTTTCTTTTTATTTGAAGCACAATATAAAACGGCTATAGAGGAATAGAAGTAAAACTTTGGACTCCCCCACATATCTTGACAGACGTTACACAGATAGTATCACAGAGGTGTAATCCTATCGGCTAAATTGTCACCAACCCTCAAGCGATTCAGTCACGCAGCTGACGAAGAAAAAAAAGTTAAACATTTCCAACCGCCACCAATCAATGCATCAATTTATACTTCTCATCACAAACATCTTAGCAACACTCACTTTCCCGCATTACTCAGAAGTCATTAAAGATAGAGATGTAAGGCGACCGACTGCGTCATCTCCATCAACACTCAAATGATTCAGCTGCCGGTATCAAAGCTTGAAAACTATGTAGACGCCGACTACAACAATACATAAAAGCTAGGATAAATCCAGCCGCCGCTGTTGATATATTCTTCGCTTTACATCTCTAATCAAAGACACATTGGTAACACTTCTCCCTTTCACGTCACAGATTATATATCAATAACATGACGTTATAATATATAAAATACTTTCTGATTGCACATTTTTGGATGATGAAATAAAGGATGGTAAAGAAATGTGTTACAAAATAGGTAGAACAAAAATAGACTCTCTACCATAAGTAACAACAGCTAAATTATATTTTGTATTTTTATTTCGCAAAGATTATGCTCATGGATTTTAAATAATAAGAGAAAAAATTTACCTTGAACAAAACGATAAGCACGTTGAGATTCCATAGCTTTTGTTTCATCACCTTTTGAATTTAATATTGAAAATTTAAATTTAGCTCGTGTTTCACATTTACTATTTGGTGCAGCAACAAGTAATAAATAAAGTGATAAATAATCTTTTGATTCTTCATCAAGACCTTTTGGATTAAGACGTAAACACCATTTGAGTTTATCATTTGCATTTGCTGAAAATGATGATGATTTTAATGCTTCACCCATTTCTTCACGACAAAATGAAAAATTATTTATTGTCCAATGAAATGAAAACTAAATAATAGAAGAATAAAAACATATATTCAATTATCTTGAAAACAATCAAATTGTTGTCAAAGTGAAACTAACATTTAACTGAATCGATCGAAGTTTTTTCTCTTAATCCTCAAGAACTAAATAAATATTTGCATTTCTATCATCACATCCTACGTTTACTATCAAATTATACAGCGATGGAAAGAACAAGTCTAATATATTGAATAAAAAAAAAAAAGAAACAGAAACTTAAATAATTTTCTTCATAGATAAAAACAATTTTATTTATATTTCAATTACCTATTTAAATTCGAATAGTCTAATACAAAAGAAGATTTCAACAATTATTTTAAAGTATAAAACAGTTTTATTTTTTCTTATCATTTCTATCATCGTCAAGAAAATAATTTCTTTCATACTTTAATAACTTTAACACTTGTTAAACACCATGATTCTGAAACCGGTTGATTAAATGAATGAATTGGTTGTTGTACTGTTGATATCGTTGTTTGTTGATGATGATTTGGTGTTAACAAAATACTACTTGATGTATCACTAATCATACTACCAGCTATATAATGAACAGATGGTGATGGTGCTCTTACAACAACAATATTTTGTGGTGAATCAGGAAGCATCATTTGTGCTTGTTATATTACAAAAACAATAGAATAAAATGTACTCAAAACAAACCTATAAAATAAAATCATTCAATATGATATAAATATGATAACTGTTATTATCTCGATCGAATAGTTTTGACTACGACAATCTGTTGATTATATATATATATATATATATAAATATAATTTATGACATTCAGTGAATCATGTGAGTTTAGATTTGAAAATATTGTGTGTTTTTTTTTTGTTTTTATACAAATAATGTTTTTTTAAATAAATTTTATTTTGTTGGATAAATTTTATTATTATTTTTTTTCTTTGACAACAATTAGCGGACTCCTATTTAGTATTCTATTGGTTAAAACATTTAAACCACTAACAAAAATTCATTGATATAT